TTTGATCAAGCAGTGAGACTTAGAGTAGGCTCTTTCGCTCTTAGATACTCTGTATCTAACGAAATTGATCGTTCGCGAGAGGTAAACAGGACGTTAATAGCAGAAATTTTCGCTGTAAATCTAGCTCAAAGCCAACCAGTTGAATGAAAAGGACAGCTGCCTGCGGTCCGATTCTGGTGCGTTTCAACTGTAATCCGACCGGTCATCCAGCGTGATGAATTACGATCAAGGAGATAGGCCGCTGTTTCCCTGCTCCTTCCTAGTGTTTGATGTTAAACGTGATTAACGTGTTCTTCTGATTCTAACCTCCCGTTTGATCTTGACACGCAAATCTGCTCTCTTATCCGCAGCTGCGCGCGCCATCGTCGTACAACACGTACTATTCGGTTGTTGCAGCTCAGAATTCGGGATTATTCTTCAAAGCGCTTGAAATAAGTCTAGCAACGATTAACTGTTGAAAAAGTCTGTAATTGCGCTGCATTTGCGTTCCATTTCGATCTCGAGCGTTGCCGTTCTCGATTTTGTTCGTTTCGACACCGAAAAACGTGGCGCACGTTCGACGAAATGTTTAAACAGACACTGTTTAAATTTAAATTTCGTGAAACTGAAAAATGTGCAACAATCCAGCCAGTCTTTGAGTTCTTTTCATCCAAAGAAGAAAGTTTTTATATCGCAAAAAAGTGAGGAGTCGTTTCTTTTTCTTGGCTAGATCTTAAAACTTGCTGTACAATTTTTTTTTATTGAATCTTGAACAAACGATGAAAAAAAGTTCGAGAAACCTTCAAATTTTGCCACTCAACTCTACAGTTCGATAAAATCGTAAATTTTAAGAAATTATTGTAAAGGATAGATCATGACAGAGATTTAGTCACGGTGGAAATTTTTTAATTTTAGCTTTCACAGGCATTTGAAATTTTCCAATTTTTTGAGAACAAAAAGTATCCTCGCTTTCCGCTTTCTACGTAATATTTGGAGAAAAAAAAAAAAAAAAAAATGACGCAGGGGGTTTTTTCAAAACGAGGCAAACTGAATCGTTTACGCGGCTCGTAATTTTTCACAAAATTACAACAGTTTAAAACATAGACAATTTCTGTGCACCGTGCGTGCGGAATACTTTTATCAACTCTCATTAAGACTCTGCAAGTCGCCGAGTCGTAAAATCAACGAGATCTATACAGGCATCGCGAATCATATTTAAAAGCTCTGGAATTCTCACGCGCGCTATAATCTCGAAGTTGTGTAACTTGCTGTTTCAAGCAGCTTGCTGTTTCATTATCCACCGATGGATAATTCATGAGGAAATCGGATCGCGCGCGCACTAAATATCGCTCGCAATCGGCTAAACAAGTCGGAAGCAATTTCGCGCCGGGGCCGGCGCAAAGTGGACGATCACAATGAACGCATAAATTTCGCCCGAACAAATTCGTTGGGGAAAATGGCGGGTCTGTCGTTGCCGAGCCGGCGAGGCTTCTTGGCTGGCCGGACGATACGCAACGAGAGACAGCTGCTACAATAGTCACCTGCGGCGATTAATGGCGTCCGGCCGGCGATCGTAAATAACAATAAACCAGTTTACTCGAAGAACAGTCGCGTGGCTTCCGCGATGCGGTGGCTTTCGAAACTATTCACCAGCGTCCCTTGCACTACGTCAATGCTACCGCCGCGGCCGGCAATTCATTTCCACCGACGTGAATCGCGTTCAAAGATTTTCATACGGTGGAGAGCAGAGACTAATTCCGTAGAGGAGCTTCCTTATTTTGTTCTAACGTGCCGACGTGCTGAAAGAATCATTACCGACAAATGAATCTGTTTGCATTTGAAACATTAACGTTAACGTTGATTTCCTACCGCTAAATACGGAGAGAAATTATGCTATTTCTTTATAAATTAGTCTCTAATAGGAAAGCAAACATTCTTCGCTCGAAACTAACAGAAATTGAAAGTTTTGTTTAAATTTTGCAAGAAAGTCAGACTTTATGAAATAAGAATTTAATTCCATATATATGTATTTCATGATATAATCGCAGAAACAAAAATTAAGAAAATATGATAATTTTATATAAATGTCTCTATTTAATTAGAGAAGTAATTAGAATCTATTTAATTAGAAAAGTAAACATTCCTCGCTCAAAACTAACAAGAATTGAAAATTTTGTTTAAATTTTGCAAGAAAGTCAAACTTTATGAAACAAGAATTTAATTCCTATAAATTTCATGAAATATATATTTCACAATATAATCGCAGAAATAAAAAATAAGAAAATATGCTAATTTTATATAAATATCTCTATTTAATAGAAAAGTAAACATTCTTTGCTCGAAAGTAACAAAAATAAAAAGTTTTATTTAAATTTTACAAGAAAGTCAAACTTTACGAAACAAGAATTTATAATTCCTTCATTAAAAAAAAATATATATATATATATTTCACAATATAAAGAAATAAAAATTTAGTCCGTACCGTATAAAATTACAAATTTAATATTGTGAAATCGATAATTTCGTCGACACGAAATTAACAGGATCGTTTTAATCATTCGGATTATTTGTATTCCGGGCGTAACTAGAAAATTCTCATTATATCTTGGATTCCGTCAATTGTCGATTCTGAGAGTTGGAAAAAAAATCCAAAATAAAGTAAAATTCCCAAAAAATTGAAACAACTACAAAACTCAGTGACTGAGACTGCGTTTTGAACAGACGATCGGCACCTACGGATCTTCCAGATCAACATGTGGAAAAGCGACGATGCCGCGCGCAGCAATGACTGTCGTTCGTGTCCGAGGGGAAAAAGTTCGAGGCGTCACGTCGCCGATCTCTTTCTCTCTCGTCCCTCGGCTGGAAAAGCTCATTCAATTCAATTCTAATGGCGGTTGCGCGAGGCTCGCAACGCGCGTCGATCCGACAAGAGGCGGCCGCCTCTCCTGTCTTTCCGCGAGACCTTTTCTCGAATGATGAGAGTATTCTCACCACGTTTTCCGCGACACCGGGGGCATTACGGATCTTCAAAGAGCCGCCACAGGCCAGGTCGTTCTCGCATCGTTGATATAAATTACGCCCACACACGTACACACCCCTCGTGCACGTACACGCCGACGTATTGCGGCGCACACTGGCCGAGGTCAGATTCTCTGCCCGCGCGCGCGTTCACATCCACGTACATACGCGTCGACGTATTACCAGATTCTTAGGAATGCTTATAATTTTACGAGCCCCCTTAATATGCGCTTAGCTTCTGCCGCGGTAGCCTCTTCAGCCTCCGATGCCTTCTCGGCCCTCTCTTCCCCCCACCGCGTGCCTACCTACGACATTTTCTACTTAACCTTTGAACCAAGATCGTTCGCGCGTAGCAGGTGCATTCCACCTTGCGGCGCGACCATCACTCGAAAATCCGTTCGACGGAGGAGGCGCGGTCGCCGCTTCCTCTCGCAGCCGCGGCGCCGCCAACGTCTCTATATATTGGATGTACAGGGTGTCCGTAAAGCCTCTTTTACAGTTACGAAAATTTGTCACAAAGGCAAATGGAAAGACAGACAAATGGGAATTATTGCAAAACGAGACGTATATAAATTTAAGTTTTCTTCCGCCTCCTTTGATATACCTCGATGAGCACCATTAATACATCGTTAGTTGCACCATTAGTTGCACGAAGCACATCAAGACGTTACTCGATTTCTTACACGATCGATGTTTTCCTCGGATGTTCCTGGTCACTTCTCCCTTCATAAAGAGGCAGAGAGAATTTAAACATATACGTCTCATTTTGTATAACAATCTCCACTTATCTGTCTTTTCAATTGCCTTCGTAATGAATTTTTGAATTTGCAAAGAGACTTTATGGACACCCTGTACATACATATGTATATATACGGCACAACCGAGAAGGATTCCGACGAGATTGAAGTTTCCCTCTTCTCTTTCCCGCTCCTGTCGTTTTTCCACTGCAGTTTTCCCCTCTCCTCCACCTTTACCGTGCATCATCACCGTGCAAGTTTCTCTTATTCTTCGTCTCATCTGAAGAGGTTGTGGAAGCAACGGGTTGAGGCGAACAGATTATGCGGATGAGGAGGCACGGAAAGTTCGCGGGGAATGCTCGGCCGGCGTAGAATTATTGTGACTGAAGTTTCCATGGATCGAGCAACGATATCAGGCTTCTGGATGTCTCGGCGTGGCAACCGGGAAGAGAAGAGATTGGGGATTAAAATTCTTTTGATTCTCTCTGCGTTTCCTCCTCTCTCGCAGAGTTTATCGCAATCAAAGATTTACCAATTAATCCTCTGCTCCATTGAATTGTTTTCCATTGAGTTTGTTCTCGACCAATTCTGATTTAACTCGTTCTACCGATTTGTTTCATTGATTGCACAAAGTTGTTACATCGGAGATAACTTCAGAACTCGAAGGAAAAATGGTGTTTTGTCACGTCGAAGATGATCTCGTAGCGCTAAAGGGTTAATTTCGTCAATATACTCTCTTAAATTTCACAAATTTGAAAGTTAAATTAAATTAAATACACGAAGCGACTCTTTGCTCAGAAATTCAATGTTCTCATAATACAGATGGTTAATCTCGCTCGCCTTTGTCCTAAATTTCATAAATTTGAAGCGGAAAAAAAATTAAATACTTTGACCACCGAATTCTTAACATCTCGTAATTTCCTAAATTTCCTAAATTTCAAGAGACAGATGGGACATATATTTATATAACTTATTTTTCATTATTTTTAGGCGTACAATCAGCTTCCGAAGTGGGCCTCACAAGTTACGAAACACACTGTATATATAATATAAAATACAAAGTTTATATTGAATAAATATTTTATAAGATAACTGTATATAAATATATCTGTAAATAATTGGTTTATAAATATTAAATACCAGCATTTCGAACTCTCGAAATATATTTTGAACTTTTTGAACGACCAAAACCGGATCCAAAACTGGAACCGGATCCGGAACCGGAACTGGGCGGAGGATTACGATGGACTTCAGTTACTAATGACTCATCCTATGATATATAATACCCAGTTATTCCATCCCATCCTCAGTTTCAATCTTGCTCTAGTCCAAGCAACATGGAGTTCTTCAGATCACTTCTTCGCGCCGTCGGACTGCTGGAACCGTCCAAGGTAGATTTTATTGTCGAGCTACCTCTGGAGGTTTCTCAGCTGATACTGCGCAAGTTGGACCCTGAGTCTCTGTTGTGTGCCGCGCAAGTCTCACAAAAGTGGATGACAATTTGCAGGTCGGACAAGATTCTCCGAGATACCGCGAAGAATCACAAGCGGAGTATCAGGAGGAAAATGATGGGTAAGGTTTTCGGGCTGGACCTGGTTGCGGAAGAGGAGATGGAAATGGTACGAAGGAGGCATGTACAAAGAACTACACTGCCCCCTAAAGTACAGAAAACGGTGGTGTTTGCCAAGACGCGAGGATCTCGTGGTCTTCCCAAACACTCCAAGGTAATTCGCTCTTCAAACGCGAAACCAGTTAAATGTATGAGATTTTAGGATAATAAAGACTATTTCTTGACACATTTGCAGTGCAAATACTTTTACTAATATAATAAATATAAGTGATAAGTAAATGATAAATATAAATTTGTTGTACAAATACTTTTTTTAATAATAAATGTAAATGATAAATTGGGTTAGTGGTAAGGGTTGATTTGAAATAAATTATTTTAGTTTCACTTGCTCAGGCTCTACATTTCTAGTTGAATATCGTGCTGTTATGTATAGTGTAATATGAATTAAAGAATTCTAAATATTGTATTCAATATTATAATAATATGTATATATATACACAGGGTGTTCGTAACTTGTAGAACCCACTTCGGAAGCTGATAGTACGCCTAAAAATAATGAAAAAATGTCATATAAATATACGTCCTGTCTGTCTTCGTTTATGAGATATAATGAATTTTCTGTTTTATTTATTTTTACAAAAGATGCTCGAAATGACCACCTTGCCTTTGAAGACAAGCCTGCACGCGTCTTGTCATTCATCTGGTTACTCGCTCTAGCAGTCATGGTGTTTCTCGAATTTGTCGGAAGCCTTGCTCTATTCTATTTCGTAGTATTTCAGCATGTTCAATCGATGTTGCGTATACAATAAATTTTAAACGTCCCCACAAATGAAAATCTAATGGATTCAAATGCGAAGAACGAACAGGCCATGCAAATAGGACCTCCACGACCAATCCATTTATTTGCAAAGTGTTGATTTAAAAATTGCCTCGCCACTCGGCTAAAACGGCGGAGCTCCATCATGCGTAAACCGCATACGAATTCTAATATCGACTAGAACTTCCTATAATATTTCGTGTAAACGCCTGCTCAAAAAATCAACGTACTTTGTGCCTGTTAGTTTCCCATCAAGAAAAAACGGTCCAATTAAAAATTTATCAATTATTCCAGCCCGTACGTTTAAACTAAATTGATGTTGATGTCTTGAATGCACAATAACATGTGCGTTTTCTTCATCCCAATTATGTTTATTATGAAAATTGAATATACCATACCTGATAAAACTAGCTTACTAGATTTTACTCTGTTTATAAAATTCATTATATCTCATAAACGAAGACAAATAGGACATATATTTATGACTTATTTTTCATTATTTTTAGGCGTACAATCAGTTCCCGTGGATCTCACAAGTTACGAAACACACTGTATATATAACATAAAATACAAAATTTATATTGAATAAATATTTTATAAGATAATTGTATATAAATATATTTGTAAATAATTTGTTTATAAATATTAAATACCAGCATTTCGAACTCTCGAAATGGATTTTAAACTTTTCGAACGACCAAAACCGGATCCAAAACTGTAACCGGAACAGGAACCGAAACCGGAACTGGGCGGAGGATTACGATGGACTTCAGTCACTAATGACTCATCCTATGATATATAATACCCAGTTATTCCATCCCATCCTCAGTTTCAATCTTGCTCTAATCCAAGCAACATGGAGTTCTTCAGATCGCTTCTTCGCGCCGTTGGACTGCTGGAACCGTCCAAGGTAGATTTTATTGTCGAGCTACCTCTGGAGGTTTCTCAGCTGATACTGCGCAAGTTAGACCCTGAGTCTCTGTTGTGTGCCGCGCAAGTCTCACAAAAGTGGATGACAATTTGCAGGTCGGACAAGATTCTCCGAGATACCGCGAACAATCACAAGCGGAGTATTAGGAGAAAAATGATGGGTAAGGTTTTCGGGCTGGACCTGGTTGCAGAAGAGGAGATGGAAATGGTACGAAGGAGGCATCTACAGAGAAATACACTGCCTCCGAAAGTACAGAAAACGGTGGTGTTTGCCAAGACGCGAGGACCTCGTGGTCTCCCCAAACACTCCAAGGTAATTCGCTCCTCAAACGCGAAACCAGTTAAATGTATGAGATTTTAGGTTAATAAAGATTATTGTTTGACATATTTGCACTGCAAATACTTTTATTAGAAATAAATATAAATGGTAAGTATTTGCAGTGCAAATAATTTTATTAATAATATATACAAATGATAAGTATTTGCAGTCCAAATACCTTTATTAATAATAAATATAAATGATAAGTATTTGCAGTGCAAACACTTTTATTAATTATAAATATAAATGATAAGTATTTGCAGTGCAAATACTTTTTTAATAATAAATATAAATGATAAGTATTTGAAGTGCAAATACTATTATTAATAATAAATATAAATGATAAATTACGTTAATAGTAAGGATTCATTTGAAATAAATTATTTTAGTTTCAGTTGCTCGGACTCGATATTTCTAGTTGAATATCGTGCTGTTATGTAGAGTGTAATATGAATTAAAGAATTCTAAATATTGTATTCAATATTATAATAATATGTATATATATATATATATATATACAGGGTGTTCGTAACTTGTAGAACCCACTTCGGAAGCTGATAGTACGCCTAAAAATAATGAAAAAATGTCATATAAATATACGTCCTATCTGTCTTCGTTTATGAGATATAATGAATTTTCTGTTTTAATTACTTTTACAAAAGATGCTCGAAATGACCACCTTGCCTTTGAAGACAAGCCTGCACGCGTCTTGTCATTCATCTGTTACTCGCTTTATCAGTCATGCTGTTTCTCGAATTTGTCGGAAGCCTTGCTCTATTCTATTTCGTAGTATTTCAGCATGCTCCATCGATGTTGCGTATACGATAGATTTTAAATGTTGCCAGAAATGAAAATCTCTGGATTCAAATCCGGAGAACGAGCAGGCCATGCAAATAGGACCTCCACGACCAATCCATTTATTTGCAAAATGTTGATTTAAAAATTGCCTAGCCACTCGGCTAAAATGCGGCAGAGCTCCATCATGCATAAACCGCATACGAAGTATAATATCGACTGGAACTTCCTCTAATATATTGTGTAAAGGCCTGCTCAAAAAATCAACGTACTTTGTGCCTGTTAGTTTCCCATCAAGAAAAAATGGCCCAATTAAAAATTTATCAATTATGCCTGCCCGTACGTTTAAACTAAACTGGTGTTGATGTCTTGAATGCACAATAACATGTGGGTTTTCTTCATTCCAATTATGATTATTATGAAAATTGAATATACTATCCCTGGTAAAACTAGAGTTTGCTTACTTGCTCTGTTTATAAAATTCATTATATCTAATAAACGAAGACAGATATAAATGACAGATTTATATGACTCTTTTTCATTATTTTTAGGCGTACAATCAGCTCCCGAAGTGGGTGCCACAAATTACGAAACGTCCTGTATAAAATATATACTTTTCCCGATTTCCCGGGCGCGCTGTGCGCATTTTTTCAACGCTGAAGGTGTACAAAACCAGTATGGTAAGCGAAAGCCGTGCTCGGCTCTTTTATGAGACAGGTGAAGGGCCATTCGGTTTTTACTCGAAACGAAACTTCCCGTGTCGCCATTTAAGCGCGCGTCTACAATCGGTGTGTATGACTTGACCAGTTGTAATTGCATTACATTTCCTCCCGTAATTACGAATCCTACTTGGTGGTTTCCGATCGCCTGGTCTCTTGCTGGTATCCGCGAAGAAAGCTGGCCGGGCACGTTCGTGGGTAATTAAAAGTTGTAACTATGTAGGCACCTCGAATGTTTATTGCATGAAAGAAACCACGACGGCGCTGGTTCTACTAGTAGATATACGTATAGATACACACGGATACATGTTTTTATTAACAGTCGTTGAATTATTCCTGCTGCAAAAATCAACAACTATAATTCCCTTTAGTACTCTCTTGTATCGTCTCGTTATTTATTAATCATTTCGTTGTGATTATTTTCGAATTTAACCACGATGGCGCTGATTATAGTACAGATATAAATATGTGCTTTTATTAACGTTGTATTAGCCAATTATTTTTGCTACAAAAATCAACAATTGTAATTTTTTTCAGTAAATCTCGTTATATTTTTAATCATTTAATATATTTTCAAATTTGACAAATTATTATTTGAATTGCAATAATTATTATAATTATTATGTTGCAAATTATCAGTTTATAAGACTCTGACTTATTAACGCAGACATTAAAATTATTAATGCAAGTCGAATTCGACCTTTAAGATTAAAAATTTGTCGGAATAATACATTAGCATTTCACAATTTTTTGCGAATAGAACGAGAGAAATTAAATGTTAGAAGCGTGAGTGTCGTACAAGTAAAGATACGTATAATTATGCGAAGATACTGTGCAATTTAATAATTTACCGAGTGACTAATGACGCTAATACTCGCTAATATTCTTATCTACGGACTGTGACGTGAGTTGATAAAATGGCACTACTGGCATAGCGTTCTTGCCACTTGTGCAACTATATTTGATTAGCGACGCGTAATCTGACGTCACTGATCGTTTCACAATCGTAAAGATATTAATAAAAAATGCCATTGTAATTTCGCAAATATCAATAGAGAGAACTGGTAAAGGAAATGTCGCGTCACGCTTTGAAATAAGCACAAAGTTGAATATATTTCTCGGCCAATTAAGACTTGATACCTCCCAATTTTAGTTTCTAGTATCTAATCTCGATCCTAAAGAGAAAATTAGCCTAGATGAAAGTCAATGCATTTAAAATTCAAAATCGTCCGATTCCTTCGGCATCAAAGTGCAATTTTCACTAATTACCCGAGCTGGGTAAAATAACGAATATCAAACAATCTGTTTACTTTTAAATCGTACATATACTTTTGAAAATAAAATATTTCACTCGTTGGAAAAGGTTTTTAAAATAGCACTTGAAATTATATTTCGTTTGAAGGATACTCAAAACAATGAAATTTTTATTTGAAATATATCTTGTTCATATTAATTTAATTTTTCCCCCATTCGCAACGATCGAATATTATTTTTACAAATATCAATGTATACTCAATACAAATATGCTTAGTAGTGTAGATAGTTTCTGAATCTTTTGGTACTTGTCTCTACAATTTATAATTTAGCAAAAGATAGACATATTTATTTTAAATAAATTGCAGCTTTGAAGAGCTTTAAAAAAAAAATAACAATTCAATACATACGAATTTAAC